TAGCGGCGCTGACCTTAATTGTCTTCAGGAAGGAATTGTTCCTACCAAATATTATACCAAAACCACTCAAACCCTTGCTCAGGCTAGTGGTGACAAATTAATGGTTAATTATAAATTACCTAATACCTACGTTTGCAATCAAGATATTTGTTTACCTACCCATTTTATATTAGTTAAAAACATGACTCACAGGGTTATTCTTGGAACTCCTTTTTTAAATAGCATTATGCCTTTAATAAATGTTGACACTAAAGGCATCACCACCATGATTAATGGTAAGAAGGCCACTTTTGAATTCATTACTGATCCTCATATTTAAATGCTTAATGAGGTTTAAAGTATTATCTTAAATAAAGAAAAAAAATTAAGTTTTCTTAAAGAAGAAGTTAGTTTATTAAATATTAATGAACAACTTAATAAAGATGAGATAAAAGGACAAATAAAATTAATTGATCAACAGTTTAAAGATGAAGTTTGCAATGATTTGCCAAACGCTTTTTGGGATAGAAGAAACATGTTATTTCTTTACCTTATCTAGATGACTTTAATGAAAGTCAGATTCCCACTAAAGCCAGGCTAGCCCAGATGAATCATGAGTATTTAAACCTATGTAAGGAAGAAATAATTCTCTTTTAGAGAAAGGTTTAATTAGAAAATCTAAATCTCCTTGGAGTTGCACTGCTTTTTATGTTAATAATGCTACTGAAAGAAAACGCGGCGTCCCTAGACTTGTTATCAATTATAAACCCCTTAATAAGGTGTTGAAATGGATTAGATATCCTATTCCTAATAAAAAAGATTTATTAGATAGATTAAACACTGCTTTAATATTTTCGAAATTCGATATGAAATCTGGCTATTGGAAAATTCAGATTAATGAAGATGATAAGTATAAAACGGCATTCACTGTGCCTTTTGGACATTTCGAATGGAATGTCCTCCCGTTTGGGTTAAAGAACGCCCCTTTCGAATTTCAAAATATTATGAATGATATTTTTATTCCTTATACGGAATTTATAATTGTTTACATTCATGATGTTTTAGTTTTTTCTAAAACAATTGATCAACATATGAAACATTTGAAAATATTCAAAGGTTTAATTAAGCATAATGGATTAGTTATATCCGCACCTAAGATGAAAATATTTCAAACTAAAATTAGATTTTTAGGATATGAAATTGATCAAGGAACTATTATTCCTATTCAAAGAAGTATTGAATTTTCTTCTAAGTTCCCTGATATCACTACTGATAAGAAACAATTACAAATATTTCTTGGTAGTCTTAATTATATTGCCGATTACTATGAGAATCTTGCTAATGATACTAGTATATTACATGCTAGGCTTAGAAAAAATCCTGGTCCTTGGACTGATAAATATTCTCAAGCAGTCCGAAGAATTAAAAACAAGGTTAAATGTTTGCCTTGCTTATCTCTGGCTAATCCCAAGTATTTTAAATTCGTTGAAACTGATACTTCAGATTTAGGATATGGAGGAATTCTAAAACAGGTTATACCTGAAACATCCAAAGAAGTTTTGGTTAGGTTTACCTTTGGTAAATGGAATCCTACTCAGTCAAAATATTCGACCATAAAAAAAAGAAATGCTTTCTATTATAAAATGTGTTTCAAAATTTCAATATGATTTACTTAATAAAAAAAATTTATTACAAATTGATTGCACCTCTGCCAAATCAATTATTGAAAAAGATGTTAAAAATCTTGTTGCAAAACAAATATTTGCTAGCTGGCAATCTCAACTATCAATGTCCAGGCGTTCACCCAAGCCTTTTATTACCAAAATCCTAAGAATAAACATTCTTGGTTTTTCTCAATTAGTCTATATGTGATTAATAGACCCATTCCAAATTGGTTTTATGTCTGGTGGATTAAATTTGGTCCTACGCTAGAAATTTTTCCAAAATAGTTAAATGAATTGTATACTCCTTGGTGCGAAAATAGTCTACTAGTATTAAATATTTCATCAAATTTGATAACTGGACAATGTCCGTTTCTTTTCTTCACTAAGTTTCAAATTCCTTGGATTTGGAGATGAACTATCACTATTTCCAGTGACAAATTTAATGTGCCAATTCTAGAAAGAATTTTTTTCTACAAATGGTGGAATAAAATGAGTTTAGAAGACATCCAGAGCAAAATTGTTCTAATCAAATCAGCCATGAGTGAAGACAAAAATAGAAATGTTAAAGATCAAAACTCCCAACAAATGTCTATGGGAAACCTGAAAAACTTTTTTCAAAGAAAGTATCCCAATGAAACAGAAGAAGAAATTATGGTCAGAACTTTAGATCATTTGAAGACTCAATTCTTCTACACTTTCTAATCTCAAACTTCAAAAGATGATATGCAATCCATGAAGACTAGTTCATCCATGGGATCAATAGATTCCAACACCTTTGAAGGTTTAGCTGGAGAAGCTGAAAATGATGATCCCACATCTGAAGACTTCTGGGATGCTATGATTCAATCTATGGCCCAAAAGGCTAAAGAAAAGGCCAAGGCTAAAGCTATGACAAGAGACTAAGCAATGACAAGAATTGTCCATAAGCAATAATGGCAAACACAAAGATAAGAGAGAATCTTATCTTGAAACAATAAAAGAATCTTATTGGAAATAAAGCTATGACAAGAGACAAAGCAATGACAAGAATTATCCAGAAGCAATAATTCCAAAAATAAAGATAAGAGAGAATCTTATCTTGAAAAGAATTTGCTGTCTATTTTGTTGTTTGTGAATTATTTTTGTGTCGATGGGGCCCATTATGTACCCGACATTAATAATTCATCTTTGTTTGTTGTAACTGGATATCATAAGTAGCTATTACCGGCTTAAATAGTAAGCCTTTGTATCCCTGTATAAAGGGATTTTTATTTCCTTTGTAAGCACGCAATTTTAATACAAAAGTTTTATATATGTTTTGCTTTCTTTCTAAATCCTTATATATGCGTCATGATTTTTATTACTACTATTTATGCATATAACAAAATTTACGAATCAAATGCTTATTCCTTCCTAATCCTTTATATTTGTTGAAGAATCAGGAAAAAGTGATTATTTTTAGACAAAATAACTCCAAATCATATCAAACCCACCCTAACTCTCAACCTTTCATTCAAAGAGATAAAAATCTCAACAAAAAAAAAACTGGGATTGTTAAAAAAAACCATTAACCATCCAACCACTTAAAATTCATGTACCGTAAACTTGAAAGCCACCTAGTAAGTAAGGAAATTATGAGAAATCAAATCTACCAACCCCCAATACACACAAGACAATAAACTCCACATGGATCAGCTATAACTTTACGCTTAAAAATATTCTCTATAATAGGAATCTTATATTTTAAAAGTTGCTAAGAAAAAACCATCAATTTAAAAAGTCTCATCTAGCCTAGATGGTAGAAAAGATCATCTCCTCAAACTTGGAGGAAGGGACAATAAAGATAATTAGCTCAAGTTGTGCGAGAAAAAAAAGTCGTGAGCACCGTCAACACATCATCTCTAACATGACGCCACCATTACCTATCGATATCCAAGGTGAGAGATGTTCCTTGGATAAAATAAAGACGACCAACAACTCACTCAAGCTAATAAACAAAAAAAAAATCTCATTCACCTCATATTGCAAACCAGAACACTATTCTCCAACGACCAACCGTATCTACGAACCGCATCTACGAACCACTTTTAATATCTTGTCAATATTACAAATAACACATTATTTCATATGTAAAATAGCTTTATCTCGGTTACACAGATGAGATAACGAAGAGTGTAATAAAAACTTGTCACTGAGGTTAGAATTATTGGTTCGATCCCTAACAATATCATATTTATATTTTCAAAATTGTGTAGCGCGCGTCACATACCTCTCAATTTTATTTAATAATCGAGATAACAAGGTATGATTTTACGTCAGTTTTAGGTGATAACTGAGGGGTTAAATCTTATTTATTACCATATATACTTTGTTTTCATTCTCATTTTCATTGACCTATATCCAAATCATATCATTCATGTATCGTTTTTTTACATAAAACCTACAAAATATGTTACAAAATCATAATCATATCATTTTAAATATCATAAACACATCATGGACGGATCTTCCATACGGTCAGTTTAGGCAAATGTCCAGGCTCGGCCTGGCCCAATTTTTTTTTAGTATTCATGTTTTAAAAAAAAGTAAATAAAATTAAAAGAAAAAGAAAAAAGAGTGGAACATAGAATTGGAAAGACCTAAAGAGAAAACAGATTATTTTATTTAGCTTAAGCTTAGTATCGCATTCATATCATTTCATTAGGTCATCTGTATTAACATAGCATACATTTAATTCAATAAATACCCTGAGGTTTAAAGGATCAGTCGATTGTGCAAGTTAGGATTTTTCGTGTGAGTGAGGTGTATATAATTAATAAAGGTTGATTTCTCTTATTCTTCTTTATGCGCTGGAATGTGGAATTGGGGTTTCCATATGGCTTTAAGGACCTCACTTCACTCGAGGCTAATTCAATTGGTTTCTCCATCAATTATGGTTGGATAGCAAGGCATCATATAAAAAGGGTGTTGAACTCATTGTGAACAATATCATTATCATTCTCATTTGTTTGATCGCTTATATAGCAAGTTAGCTTGGATTGTGGATTGAAAGTAAGGCTTATGCAAAACATGGAAATTCATTTAACATGTTGAAATAAAGAACGATTGAAAGTTCCAATGTATTTTGAAAGGAAAAGTCGCTTTGAATATTTGGATTTTTATCATTTGAAACTTTAAGATTCACTTGTTCATTCACAAGTTCACAAGATGGTAAATATCAACACATTCATTATTCATCCAAAATGTTATGAGCATTGATCAAAGGAGATGGGAACTTCGAATTCAGTTTGGGGTGAGAATACTTTAAATATTTGAAGGGATTATTATCATTGAATTTCAAAAACATATTGAATTTCAAAAACATTCCAAAGTATACCTATGCCATTACAACCTAGTTCAAATGTTACAACACATGTTCATTACAAGAGAAGTGCAATTACAATCATGGCCATTACAAAACTACATCAAGTTACACAAAGAAACGTAAAAGATCCTAAACCTATGCTAACTTGTTCTCGATCTTCAAGCATCACGCTACGATTTTCTTTAAACTCATGCTCGCTATCTTCACAAAGCTATGCCAAACAAGCATCCAATTCTCCATGAGGATTCCAACTCCTTGTTTTTGCTATTTCTCAAAACCAGCTGAAATCTGAACCACGAAACCGACCGGCAGTAATACTGTTAAATCAGAACTCAGTTTAGAAAAATGAACAAGAACAAAAACCAGTGCACACACGCAGAATTGAAAAGCAAGTCTGATTAAGCTAATCCAAGACCTGCACAAGTTATGCCGAAACCAGTTCAAACCATGTGATTAAATCATAACAGTTATCATATTATAAAAATCAAGCCAGGAGGTAATACAGATTTATGCAGAATCAATCTCAGGAACTGATGCCGTGTTATCCAAACAGCAACCCTGTTCAAGGTGAAGAAAACAGAGAAAAGGAAAAACTAAAAATAAATGACAGCTCAACAGTAAGTTAGAAGAGAGTTTTATCAGAAAATCAATATAACAAGATCGGCCCTGCGTCGATTTAAAGAGGAGACTATAGCAGAAAAATCAGAAATAGAAGTAAAAGGACATAACATAATTTTTACAAGCTTTTAACAAGTTTCCAATGCTTCAAATCTCACAGTTCATTGCTTCTAACAAACTCAGGATCTAAGGGCCGATATCGATTCAAATCATAACTAACTGTAACAGAAATATAAAAGAGCAATCACCTTGCATCGATCTGGATTCTTCATTCTCCTCAGAACAATCCCCAAAAATATCTGAAAATTCTCTCTTTCTGCTTCAACCTTCAACATTCTTCACCAATTCTCTCTGCTTCCTCTCACACTCGTTCACAACATCACCGCACTTCATCATCTTCATCGTTCTCTGTACATAGAGTAATCGCATCATCATCTTCTCTCCTCAATACTGAATTCATCTTCACTTCTTAGCCTTCCATCGATTCTACAATCATCTTCATCATTCTGAATCAACAAACAACAACGCAACTGAATTGCATGGAGTACAAAGAGATCCGAAATCGCAGAAGAAGAAGGCACAACAACATCAACACGTAGCATGGACAATTTTTTTTCTTCTTCAAGGAATTCGCACAGTACAATAACACTTAGAACTGAGTAGAAGAAGAAAAGAGGAAGAATCAGAGGTAGAAGTGCAAACAGACCTGATCCGCGGATCAAAGGAGTGTCGGACTCGTCTCCGGTAGGTAAATATTGCTATTTCACCTTCCTTCATCTTTTTCATTATACTGCGACTTGTTTTTGTTCGGATCGGAAGAGATGATGTTGTTGAGGCAAAGGCGGAGAGGGGTTTGTTGAGAATGGTGTTGCTGGCGAGCGAAGATGGATTGGGATCGAAGAAGTTTGAAGGTTGAATCGGTGAAACAAACGAGACGAAGATGCGAGAGGAAGGGGTTCGATCTGTGAAGAAGAGATCGTTATGATCGAAGATGAATAGTGAAAACGAATCGGAACGGTGTGAGAGGTGGAGTTTTTCTTCTGTTAAGGAGGAAGACCGGCGTGGTGATGTAGTTTCTCGGAGAAGTTGAAGTATGTCGCGCCGTTCAAGAGAGGGGAGGCTCTGAGTTTGAATAGTGTTTGAGAGAAGTTCTAAAGTCACAGCTACCCTAGGATTCCCCTAAACGCACCGTTTATCTTTTTAGTGTCTTTTTCTTTTTATTTTCAATTTCAATGTTATAATAAAAGATGAAGAAAACTGATGAGTCAATTGATGGATTGGTGTAAGGTTAAGCTGGGCCTCTGAACTACAAATCTTTAGCTTCGACCCATGGCATTGTTTTTTGGCAGCCTGAAGTGTTGTGTAAAAAAACAAAGAAAACAACTTGTTGGACTCCTCTTAGTTGGGCCTTCAGTGCCTAAGCTTTGCTGTACCATAGACTCAGATTATGGCTTGCACCCCCTGACATCTATCTCCTTTTTGAGTCATTTTCTTGTAGATTTTACTTTTATTAATTTTTTAGATAACAAAATAAGAATAATAAAAACAATAAAAAATAGTGGAATGTAATAGAATTTTTCTAGGATTTCTTTTTAGAATTTTGATTAGAATTTTATATTATTGTTTATGTTTAGTAATCATTTTTCGTTGTCATCTTTAGCTAAGATTTTATGATAGTATTGAGGCAATCTTTTGTGATATGGGATGTTTGGAGATTTACTCGTTTGATCACTTGGGCGAGGCATCTTTGGTAGAGTTTTCTCTTTGTTTGCGTGACTTTGAAGAGGCAACGTATCTTCTCTGTTAGGTATCATCTGAGCTCTCTTTACTTTCTCATCAGTTGTATCATTTTCGATTTCTTTTCCATGAGAAGTAGGAATATAGATGCATGACTGGGGGTCCCTACTTTAGGTGGACAATGTTATTTTAAAAGACCTTTAAAAGGCAATTCCTACTTGTGCTTGCTTGTTTAAAGTCCTCGACGAAGGAAATTGTGTGTTTATATTTGTGCCAAAGACCTCAAAGAAGACGTCTCATTCCTATTCCCCATTGATAAGTCCTCAAAGAAGGAAATAAGGAAAAGTGTGGATCTGCATCGACCCCCGTCATTTCTAGTTCCCATGTCATTTTTAGCTCGCTTTGTACGCTGATGATTTGAAGTGTGCTTCTCTTATTATCAAGTCGGTAAAGTGGAAATCAAACCCTCGTGATTTGTTTCAGCTCACGTTTTTAAATGTTGATGCTTCGAGTTTGCTCGATTAGATGGTGATTTGTTTGATCCCATATCATATGCTATCTCCTACCTCGATAATACAATATCTTGGTTAGGTGTTTAGTCGGTCGCTATTTCTCTCTTCTTACCAGATAATTGATATCTTTGTTAAGAATCCCTCTCCCTTTACCTACCCTGATGATCTGATATCTTGGTTAGGCGTTTTGACTTGAGTTAGTATGCACTACTCATGCATTGTGTGTTCTCTCTTCGTTGGAGATCTTAATTTCTTGTTTGTTTTTCCTCTTGTATACCATGTTCCCTTAGGACATCTCAGTTCATTCTTAGTTAGAGGATTGAATCGAGATAGACATTATGTTTCTAAACCGTGCATGCTAACATTAGATAGATATTTCCATTTTTTCAATCCCAACTCTATGACCATCATTATATGATAATATTAGGGATATAAATTAGATAGTCTCCCTTAGATTTTCTCTTCTCTGTTGCATGCTTGTATTAAAACTAAAACCTTTTTCTTTGAAAAATCTAAAACACTTAATAATTGAAGATGCGAGTTGTATGCAATTGAGTCTTGTGGGGTATAGCGAATCGGTTTAGACTGAATCTTTCTCTTCTTTCACTTCTGGACTTTATTACGGTTCAAATCACAAACTCTTTTGCAAATAAGTGGAGAAGTGGTATGTGTCCCTCCGGTGGGATCCATTTTCCATTATCCCATCAAAACACCAACAAATTCATATCTTTTTTCGCATCCGGGCCTTTTTTTCTCAAAAGGATATGTTAATTCCTCCATGCAATATAACGCGTAAATCCCCAAAGGTCGGGTGGCACCATGTCTACTTGTTAGAGTGTAAATGTAACAATATCCGCCTTCAGGCATTTTTCTTTTGAAAATACCTCTTCAGGTAAAAACATGTTAATTCCTTCTTGTGTCAACGCGTGAGTCTCCAAAGGTCGAGCTACGGCAGAAAGCGAAATTAATATTGTTCATAAAAAACACAAAACAAACGGAAACTTTCGAGCCAAACTATGGCGCTTTGATTCCTTAAAGGGATGCGTAGGAAATATGACGTAGGGCCTAACCGAGCAAAACTTTGTAAATATTCCTTTTTTCCCCGTATTTTCTTTTGCATGTATTCCCTTTTAGAATTTAAACATTAGGCTATATATTTAGAGATAGATACACCCTTTAGATTAGACAACACAAGAGTGGATCTCGTTGAGTACCACATACGTGAGGGGTGCTAATACCTTTCTCTTACGTAATTGACTCCCTTACCCGATCTTTCGGCTGCAAGACCGTGATTTCTCCCTCTTCAGGTTTTCTTCGATATTTTTCTTTCCCTCTACTGGATAAGTAGATATCCGATGGAGACTTTATTGATTTACCTTCGATGAGTTTTCTCAATTGCTTCACCGTTGTCGTTCTTTTTCCTTCTCTGTTCAATTTGTCGTCACCGACTTCCTTTACAGTTCCATACCATTCCTATAGCAGGTAATGTAAAATTGTATCTTGTTTATCAAATAGCAGCCATGTGTGTTTCTCTCTATATAATAATATAAATATATATCATATATGTGTTTGAATTGGTTTGTTAATCTAAATATATATGCGGGTAAAGTATTAGATATACACATATATAACTTTTGTCTTTTTGTACTTTTATTTCACTATGTAATTGACAAATGTTGAATGCAAAAAGCTTAATTTAAGCCACCAAACTGATACAAAATTGAATTGACATCTTTATAATTACAAATCAATTAGTGATCATGCTACTTGTTATTTCTCAAATGAATCTTGTAGTAATAAATCTATATATTATACTTGTTTAATTACATATTTGATTGTTTAAGTCTATATAATATAACCATGTACTAATTTATTTATTTCTTAGTGTTTAGGTTGTTTGAATAACCATGTACAATTACAAATACTTATTTATTTTTTATTAGAGTTTAGGTTGTTTAATTCTTATTATTTTAAATTTTGTTTTATTTGTTTGAAGAGCGTTTCTTATTCTTATTTGCTTTATTTGATTTTTATTCTTTTAAATTTTGAAATTACAAATTTGTAACTACTTTATCTTTTGTTCAGAGATGAGGAGATTTTTGGTTGCTAGAGAAAATATTAAGAATGTGAATATTGAGCAATCAGAGGTCGAATTAGAATTATCGTCTAATGTGGTTAATGAGCTTAATCCAAATGAGATTATGCGTGATCCAGGTTATAGGAAATAAAATAACGAGTATGCTCCGGATATTCAAGACCAAGTGAGGAGGGCATATATATTGAAGGGTCCAATCCAACCAGATTTGCCAAGATTTCCTCGTACTCCATTTGAGAGTGTTAAAAGATCATTTAATAAATCATGGTATAAGAATTATACATGGTTAGAATACAGTGAGATGAAAGATGCAGCTTATTATTTTTATTGCTTTCTCTTTAAGCAACTCGGAAGGACCGAGCACTTTGGTTTTGAAGTCTTCACTAAAAGCAGATATAGAGATTGGAAGCATGCATATCAAGGCTTGAAAGGTCACGTTGGTAGTCATAATAGTTTTCATAACTCATGTGTCAAGCACTACAATGATTATAATAATCAAAGACAAAGTGTGACAAGTAAGTTGGATAAAGTAACCAAGGAATCAGAAGAATTGTATAAGATTCATTTGACTTGTCCTGTAGATTGTTTAAAATATCTCATAGCACAAGGCATGGATTTTCGTGGCCATGATGAATCCTCTACTTCTCTAAATAAGGGTAATTTTAGAGAGATGGTAGATTGGGTAAAATCTCATAATGAATAAGTGAGGGATGCTTTTGACTGTGGTGAAAAAAATTGCACAGTGACTTACAGTGACATTCAAAAGGAGCTTGCAATGTATTATGCACATGAAGTTACCAAGGTGATTATGGAAGAGCTTGGTGATAGAAAATTCTCCTTGCTTATTGACGAGTCACGTGATATATCTATCAAAGAGTAAATGGTGGTGATGTTGAGGTTAGTAGTTGTATTTTCAAATTTTCATTACTTATCATTCTTTATGCTTCCAAGTAAACTTGTTGAATTTATTTTAGGTTTTTTAATGATAAAG